GTGCCCTATGACCTTTCCTGACAACAAGTGGCTGCCAGAACCGAACAGGATGGGGTTGAGTTGGGTAGGAAGGAACTCCTGGCATCACACTGGTACCTCCTATTCTGACTCAGGGGCACTGACCAGCCCCACGATTCACACTCAACTGGAACAACTTGCATGTACAACACTATGCCCACAGCCCCTCTGAATCTCAGTGCCACCCCTTGACTTATTTCAAGATAAAGAACTTTGATTTTGGCCACTGTCTCACTAACTTTTCCCCCAGAAGCAATACATGATGCTGGGGGTGGAGCCTCAGTGAACACCTGCTCATAATAACTGGCTTTAAACCACTTTAATAGTCACAACATATCCCACATCCCCCTCTAAAAAAACACTGGAATTATAGTATGCTGAAAGTATACTTGAACTCCCTAATGCTCAACTACAAAACTACAAACGTCCCTCCTCCAAAGGGACACATAGCCTACATCTGCATTATAGATGTGCCCTTAGTGACTACAAATTTTGTTGTTATTTTTCCACAAGAACCTAAATACACTGAAGGCACCAGATCCTGTCTGATCTTGGAAACTAAGCAGGGACAGGCCTGGTTAATACTTGGATAGGAATACCCAGTGCTGTAATCTATATTTCAGAGGAAGGCAATGGCAAACCACCTCTAAGTATTCCTTACCTAAGATAACCCCATGCTGTTCTTAGGGTCACCATAAGTTGACAGGTGACAAGAATACACGTACACATACATTTGTCATCAAGTCAGTTTTAACTTAGGGCAACCTTATGAACGGACATCTCCAAGAGGTCTGATCATCACCAACCCTGTTCAGGTCTTACAAACTTAGGACAGCCATGGCATCCTTACAATCATAGACTCACAGAATCTTAGAGTTGGAAGAGATCACAAGGGTCATCTAGTCAAAACTCCTGCCATGCAGGAATACACAATTACAAAACTCCTAAAAGAATCCATGCAAGCACTACTTAAAGCCCTCCAAAGATGGACACTCCACCACCCACTAAAGCAGTCTGTTCCACTGCTGAACACCTCTTTCAATATATATAAAAAAGTTCTTCCTAATGTTTAGGTGGAATCTCTTTTGATTTCATTTTCTATATGACATCCCTACATATATCTGAAGGCAGATACTATGCCACCTCTCAGTCCTCTTCTCCAAGCTAAACATATCCAGCTACTCCAGTCATTTCTTATAAGGCTTGGTTTCCAGACCTTTGATCTTCTTGGGTTGTTCTTCTCTGGACATGTTCCAGCTCTTCAATATCTTTCTTGAAATGCAGTGCCCAGAACTGGTCAAAGTATCCCAGATGATGTATGACCAAAGCAGATTAGAGTGGGACTACTACTTCCCTTGATCTGGACACTATACTCCCATCAACACAACCCAGAATTGCATTTTGGCCACTACATCATACTGTTGACTCATGTTTAGTTTGTGTTCTGCTAAGACTCCTAGATTCCTTTCACATGTACTGCTCTCAAGCCAGATGCCACCCATCCTATAGTTGTGCATTTCATTTTTGATGCCTAGATGTAGTACCTTACAATGATCTCTATTGAAATTCATTTTGTTAGGTTTGGCCCAGTTCTTTAACCTGTCAATGTCATTTTAAATTCTAATCCTGTCCTTTGGGGTATTAGCTATTCCCTCTAATTTGGTGTCATCTGCAAATTTGATAAGGATGCCTTCTATTCCATCACCTAAAATGGATGTTAAATAGCCCCAGGACAAGGACAGAACCCTAAGGGACACCACTAGCCACCTTTCTCCAGGATGAAAAGCAACTGTTGGCAAGTACTCTTTGGGTTTGATCTTTCAACCAATTGCAAATCCACCTAACCATAACACTGCCTAGCCCACAGTTCACCAGCATGACTACATGAATATCATGAAGGATCTTGTCAAAAGTCTCACTGAAATCAAGATATACTACGTCCACAGCACTTCACTGATCTACAAGTTTGTAACTCTATCAAATAAAGTAGATAAGATTAATTTGGCACGACTTGTTTTTGAGAAAACCATGCTGGCTCCTGCTAATCACAACATTTCTTCCTAAATGCACAAAGACTGACTGTTTAATTATCTGTTCTAGAATTTGTCTTGGTATTGATATCAAGCTGACTGGTCCTCTTTTATTCCATTTTTGAAGAGGGAAACAACATTTTCCCTCCTGCAAACTCCTGTGCTCCAAGAATACTGAAAGATTATTGACAATGACCCTGAGATAACATCTGCAAGTTCCTTTAGTACACTTGGATGCAGCTCGTCCTGCCCTGGAGACTTGAACTCATTTAGAGTAGCTAGGTATTCCTATGTTACCTCTTTACCTATTTTGAGCTATAGTCTGCATGATTTGTTCTTTACTGCATGATTTGTTCTGTTTTCACCATATAGCAGTTTTCCTATTGGGAGATGACTGAGACAAAGGTATTAAACAATTCTCTCTGTCCTCTGTTAGCACTTCAGCATCTTCTCAATGTTTTTGTTCAGAAAACCACATTTTCTGTGCAGGAAACAATATTTGCTATGCGGAAAATTATTCTATTCAAAAATATAATTTCTGTGCAAAAAATGCTGATTCTGACACAAAACCATGTTCAAATTTTGCATAGAATAAATCTCAAACTGCAAAGATACTTATTAGCCCAGGATTCTTCTCATCAGAGTCTCTATACTGGAAAAAACACGTTTTTGATATTTTCTCAAATATTTTCTAATATTCTTCTCATCTCTCCTTGTGAGTCAATATGTTGCTAAACCCCACTGGTCCAGTGGATCTAATCTAATTGAGGCTAACAACAGAATTCAAGCCCACATGTTTTGGACTTTAACTATGGGTTTATCTACACTGTAGAAATAATGAGCTTTGCTACCACTTTAAGGGTCGGAACAGACTGGCAGGAAGGGGTATCTTGAAGCTGTCTCCGCTGAAGATGCCTTGGGACCACTCCAAACACATGATACAGTCCTGGAGGCGAACTCCTCCACTGGCCCAAACAGGAGCAGAAAAGATCCTCTCCTATTTGGGCTGGGTCCAGACACTCTGGTGGAAAGCAGCATCAAAACACTGTGCTCCTTGAACGTCTTGAAGCTGAACCCATGTGGTTGGTTGGGTGGCTTCAAAGTGGCCTTTGCAGCTAGTCTGTTCCAGACCCAAGTTCTGTAGCTCTGCTTTATGGAATCCTGGGATCTGGAGCTTTCTAAGGTCTTTAGCCTTCTCTGCCAAAGTATACTGGTGCCTTGCAAAACTACAAATCCCAGGATTCTGTAGAATGGAGCCATGGCAGTTAAAATAGTGTCAAACTGCATTATTTCTACAGTGTAGACGCACCGAGGATGTTCCTCCTGGCTATTTTGTCTGGGGATTCTGGGATCTGAAGTCTATAATCTCTGAAGAGACCAAAATTCCCTACTCTCACACTATACAGTCTACATCTGTGTTTTTCAGGCTATCTGATGTGGGGCACCAGCAATTGTTTTCCAATATGCCAAGGACCAGCTCTAAATTTGTGTCTATTGGGTACAACTATTTCTTTTTTCCCCCCTGGAAATTTGTCAGGGATCAGCAGCCAATGACTCGGTGACTAGCACCAGTTCGGGAATCATCTCTTTGAGTAGTAGTCTAGCTGACAAGCGATCAGCAGAAAAGATTCACCAAGATATTTTTCCTGATTCATGCTAATGGTCCCTCCAGACCATTATTCTATGCCAAGGCTGCTTAATATCCAATGCCACACAAAAAAAAGTTCATAAAAGATCAAGAAAGGAATCTGGTTTCTGACATACATTCCCTGATTCCCAGTCAGCCGTGGACAGATTCAATACAGATCTACTCCCAAGTGGGTTATGCAGGATATAAACGAATCAACAAAGATGGTGGCTTATTGGTGAAATGCATGGCAAAACGCCATTTTTATTTATTTATTTTGGCCAAAGTACAGCGTAAACTAGAAACAATCTCCTTAATGGTTCCCCCAAGGCTCTAGAAATCCCTACCTGATGTCAGAATAGCTGGCCCCTTTCAGGTAAAAATGTTTTTTATTCTACTAGAATTTTGAAAACTGAATGTTTTTAAAGTAAGGGCTCTGAATAGGGTGCTGCATTGCTTTTAACTCCAGTGGTTTTAAATTGCTTGCTATTATTATCCAAATTTCTTGGAGAAAGGTATTATTATTATTATTATTATTATTATTACTATTTCTATCCCTCTTTCCTCCCAAGACTGGGACCCAAAGCAGCTTACAGTCTAAAAAATACATTACAATTAAAAACCTATACAACTGACAATTAAAATGCTATTAAATTATTACAATATTAATGAATAAATATTATTTAATTGTACATTTTGTTTTTAATGTTACTGACAGTTTAACTACATTTTAATGATAACTTTGTGTTATGTTTCAGGTATTTTGACTACCACCAAACTGTATTGTATTTATTTTACAGTAATTTGCAAGCTGAAATAAGCATGGAAGGTTAAATAGGCCAGAATGGGACACAGATGTGGGTGAAATTTTGTAAAGAATACATGGAAAACGTGGTAGGTGTGGGATAATAAAGATTTGGATTACAAGATTCAGAGAGTGGAGGTTACACCATTTTGTTGGAATAGTTCTCTGTTTGGACAACCAGGGGCCATTTTTGAACATAACAATCCAAATATATAGACATTCTGAGCAAGGGAATGTATACTTTGCTCTCATAAGTTCTTCTAATAGCAACCTTGGATGCCAAGTATCACTAATTATGTAGCCAAAATGGGGCCAGATACAAAAATCAGGTATATCAACTCATTTGGGGAAACCCCATATATAAATATTTGAGTGACCCTTGTGTGTATGTGTGGTGTTGTTGTTGCTTGTTGTTTTTTTTTATGTGTCTTCAAGTCATTTCCGACTTATAGTGACCCTAAGGCGAACCTATCACTGTTTTCTGAGGCTGAGAGAGTGTGGCTTGCCCAGGGGGTTTTCATGGCCAAGCAGGGGCTCGAACTCTGATCTCCAGAGTCATAGTCAATGCTCAAACCACTACACCACTGGCTCATGTGTGTGTGTGTGTGTGTGTGTGTGTGTGTGTGTGTATTTTGTATGTATGTATGTACCGTATATATATTGGGGAAATCACCTGAACAGCCTAGTAAGAAGTGGACATGCTCAATCATGACAGAATGCTTGTTATCTTTTATCTTTTGGAGGAGTGGGTTGGAAGGAGCTTTCCTAGAAGCTAGCTAGCTGGCTGGGCCTTGGAAAAGAACTGCTACACCTTTTAGGTCCTGCTTGTTTTGAGTACATTCATTGGCATGAATGGATCTCTTTTTTTTGATTATTCCCAGTTTGGAGAAATATAGGAGCTTACACAGATCTAATGTGTTTGTCTAATAGTACTAGAACTAGCAAAATATGGAATAGATTCACTTAATACAATGAGCTCTCTGCTGGGGGGCAGGATCCTTCACCATCCATACCTGAAGGAGATGTTTGCCCATTTTCCATTGACTGACTCAAAGTTCAGCCCTAGACACTAGAATTTGAAGCTTGTTGATATTGTTGTGTGCCTTAAAATTGTTTCCAATTAATGCTGGTTCTAAAGGCAAACCTATCACAGGATTTTCTTGGCAGGATTTGTCACTCAATGGGTTTCCATGGCCAAGCACAGATTCAAACCTTGGTCTCCAGAGTCATAGTCTAACCAAATAATAAGTTGCTTGTAATTGGTCTGGGGTTGTTTTTTGGGGGAAACTAGCTAAACTTGTATTATGATTGTAACATACAGTGAGATAGTTTTTTGTGGGTTTTTCGGGCTGTGTGGCCATGTTCTAGAAGAGTTTCTTTCTGACGTTTCGCCCCTGGAGTCTTACAGTACATATAGACCCACTCACTTCTATTACAGTATTCTCTGAAGATGCCAGCCACAGATGCTGGCGAAACGTCAGAAAGAAACTCTTCTAGAACATGGCCACACAGCCCGAAAAACTCACAAAAACCTATGGATGCCGGCCATGAAAGCCTACAACTTCACACAGGGTGAGATAACTTCACTCTTTTTGCAGTATATCTATAATGACTTTAAATTCTGTGTTGTGCTACTACCTTTGTTAGGCCAATCAAAAAGGTTAAGCATTCTATGGAAGGTTATTATCACAACATGGACATTTTAATCCTGTGTAATGGACCTATTTACTTTAATAGTTAGGGATAGCCACAGTCCCTAGATAGAGTTTTGTACCACAGGCTGGGAGCTTGGGGTGTTCTGATGGACCAGAATACCAGAAAAGTGGAAAAATTTGCTAATAAGTTCCAAACCAGCACCAAAATAAATGGGATGTCAATTTAGGATTAAATACTAATTCTGGTCAAAATTGTTTCACAAAATTGTGTGTTCTTGAGCAAAGAATACAGCCATCTGTAGTGTTTGTTTGGAAGGTATGCAAAGTATTTGAAAGATCAGGTTCAAAACCTATACTGTACTTTCTATCTTTTTCTTTCTTTCTTTTTTTGTTTGGGTCCCATTCGAAATACCACATAGACAAACCCTTTAAATTATTATACAGATTTCGACAGGGATTACCTCTTTTCCTAAGGGCTGCTGGGGTAGGTATGGACAAACACAAAACATCCCACAAAGGAAAATCTGACCAAAAACAGGTTGGTTGTTAGAGGGGGGCCTGGGTGGGCTGCAAAGGAGAGTGCCCCACCTACAGCTAAATGCTATCTTCTCTCCCTGAAAATACCTCTGTGTCCATGTGATATTCATATGGAGAATACTGATGGTGAGCAAACAACTGCAAACCAGGCGCTTCACTTCACAGGAAACCAAGATAAAATAAAATAAATTTTTAATTGAAAAATTAAAAAGTCTGGAGGGCACATGGCCCACAAAGGAAAATGACTACACACAATGACACATTTGGGCATTAAAGCTTCTTCTGGTCCATACAACAGACACAAATTAAGGTTGCAGGTTTTCCAGAGGTTTGGGAAAGTGAACCTGTTCAAACTGATCCACAAGTGCAGCTGCACCTGCTGAATCCTGTCTCCTGCTTCCTATTAGAAAAAAGAGCTTTCGCTTCTGTAGCATACACCTTCCCTTCACAAAGCACCATGGTCCTATCACAATATGCATGAACAGGAAACAGGATCATTCAGAACTGTTCTGAACCTTCTGACCCATCGGTGGAGATCCTGGGAGTGGTCAGATTGTACAGATTCTTATGTAATATAAACATTACCTCCTGACAGTTTGTGATTAGAATTATAAAAAGGAAGCTACATGATAGGTACTACAGAGGAACGCCTACCTATTTCTTTCTCAGCTTCATGGGATAGCCATCTTGGGTTGCAGACTGCCAGAAATAGTGCAAATTGAGTCCACTT